AGTCTGCAGAAAGTCTGTCGAATAAAATATAACTCAACTTTTAGGTTGTGTATTTTTTTTCAGACAACAGTTTTGACATAGATACCAACTCCACGTAATGACAGAGTTATTGTTAATAATCCTTGAGAGCAGGCATTTGCATTCTTGTTTCTTGGTGCTCTTTGAATGGTATTTTACTGTGAAGTTGCTTAAGCCATTTCACTACTAATCCTGAGTCAACTTGGTGGTGTGTTCTGAGTCCTGATGTTACAGGTTACAGGTCCAGTGGACCTACTCTGGGATCCTTAGCCCGTGTGGCGACCCTTTGTCTTGGCCACTGCGTTCTTTTTCTGCTCAGATTTGCACAACCAATAATGAAACTGGTGCTGAGTCTGGAACAGCACAAGTTTTATTCAATGACCAAAGAATGGAGAAGTGAGAATTTAGTTTGCAAATCAACTCTCAACTCAATTCGGGCAGAAACACCATATATATTGGAGGGTTGAGGTAAAAGGGAGGAAATTGAAAAGAGAGGGAGGAATATTGATGACTTATCCAAGAAGAGGGGTATGGTTTGGACCAGAACTGATGCAACGCTCTTTCTCTGTCCTTATATGGACATTTCCAGCTGTCGTCATGGCAACTGCACTGGTGGGTATGTCATTTAACATGCTAATGCATTATATTGAGTGTATAATGAGGCTCAAGGTCTACTGGAATTAAAATCTTCCACCATCTTGGTCCTAGTTCTAACCAGTTCTTGTTTTTCTCTTTGCAGCTTCCTCCTGAAACTTAGATAAGAGAAATTGCTTTCCATTCAAGGGAGGGATAGGGGAATGATTCTGGGGCAACAGCCTTGGTAACACTGAGTCATGTTGTTGTGGACACATTACTATATGCTTTTCTCAATAATAAAAGTGTACACCCAAAGAGTAAATTTTGTTGTATGAAAAAGGAGTTAAATTTGCCAACTTATTGACTTGTATTTCTTTTGTTCAAGAGGTAGATTGCGTTTGAGAACAAAGATTTACCTGTGTTGGCTCAGGCACTCCTCAGCCATGTGAGGATTACATACTCAGATTCATCAGTTCAGTCTGATAAATTGTACTTATATACTGTAATGATACATTTAGCTGATGAAATCTTTTTCTCACACTTGTTGTGTTAAGCTTTTACACCGAATGGGAATTTTTTTTTTTTTTTGCAGTACGCGGGCCTATCACTGTTGTGGTCTCTCCCGTTGTGGAGCACAGGCTCCGGATGCACAGCCTCAGTGGCCATGGCTCACAGGCCCAGCCGCTCCACGGCATGTGGGATCTTCCCAGACCGGGGCACGAACCCGTGTCCCCTGCATCGGCAGGCGGACTCTCAACCACTGCACCACCAGGGAAGCCCCTGAATGGGATTTTTTAAAACCTCAAATATTGCTTAAATACCACTATCCAAAATTACCATTAGTTAATTTATGGCAAAATTATACATCTTTAGACAAAAATAATCTTCCGTTTTGCTTTATTTTTTATCTCTAGGTGTAGTTTTTCCTAATTTTAGTCTTCTTTTTCTTATTTTAATATTTCAAATTCTGTAGTGTTACTGGAACCATTTTTCAGAGTTAAAAGCTTCTTTGATATTTACAGTAATTATGTTAAATTTAGGTTTATTAACTATTAATATACTGAGAAAAATGGCTTTTCCTCTATTGATAATAAAAATGAGAGCCTATTAACACTGGTATTTTTATTACCTCAGTTTATTACTTCTCTTGGATAACTGGATCAATATTCTACAAAAAAAATACTTTTGTGGGGGTAGTAATAATCCATTTGTCTTCCTAATAAGTGTCTTGAAGCTCTTCACGCTGCACACCAAACTAGTTAACATATATAAAACAATTCTTTCTGATGCGAATTTTGGACAAAAATACCTATAATTATGTAAGACCTTAAATATCATTTTGATAATAAAACAAAGCTCACCTTGTCACAAGCTAGATTACATTTTTCCTGGCACATTACAGTATGAAATATATACTATACTGTGCAAACTAAAAAATATCACTTGCATCCAGTTCTACAAGAATGAAGTCACTAGCCACTGTACTTGCTGACCTTTAACACACCCTGAAAGTAGTTCAGGGTTGAGATCAGGAATTAGGCACTCTTTGCTTTGGAAAAAAACTGACAGAACAGGTCTTCAGATAATTAGATATTTTCAGGGGAAAATGTTACAAGCCCAATTTCTTGCATCTTCTCATACCTAGAAAAAACACTAAAATCATTAATGGAGACATTTGCTCCTAGTGACTAGCAGCAACCTCCTACTGAGTTGTATGATTGATTGCATGCACCCCCTTCACCAAAACCATATATATACTGACCTTCCCCCACCTCTTCAGAGCAGTTCTTAAGAGCTATCTAAGAGGCTATCATTCTTTTTTCAGTCAACAGCTGTAATATATATGATAGCCATAAAAACCCAAGGACACTTTAGGGAAATTAAATAAAACTTGGCATGTCGAATAATTAAAAAGAGTAATATCCATGAAAAACATTATTTAAATATTTCTTATGATTTTAAAAATTATTTTAATAATAGATTGACATGTATCTTCAGTTTTGGGGGAAAAAGGACATATGTTTATTTTGTCCTTCTGCATTCACAGGCAAATTCTATATATATTATGTATCATAGACCCAAAAGTTGGTAAATGATCCAATCATTATCTTCATGAAGCTTCATAATTAGAAACCTGAGTGGCAGAGGAGAGTTGGAGATGCTGACAGGAAAGATGTAGTTATAGAGGAAATCACCCAATCCAAGGGCATGCAGACCTGGCTGACATGGCTGTTTGGGCTTCAGTAAATTTCAGTTTTGATGGGGTCTTTGAGGAGTCATGATATGTAGAAGATTGAAACTGGTCTACATTCAGCAGCAACATATGTAGAATATACATTTATTGAAGAAAGTAATAGAAATATATTAAAACATATAGATTTATAATTTAAAGTAAAAATTATTAGGCAGTAAGCCTACAGGCATTTTTGTAACTTTTTTCTCATTTACTTTAATATAGATAAAAATAGAAGAAATTACAGAATTATAGAATTATTTGTCACAACACTATTACATATACTAGTAACATTTTATCATATTAAATTTTAAAGAGAAAAAAGGATTGTTACTCCATATGTTTAGAATCCTCAATTTGCAATTTTTAAGGGATTACCTTCTTTGGTACTACTTCTTCAGTACTTTGAATTTGTGGTGCTGGGGCTTAGGACAGGTCCCTCCAAAACATGCCAAAGTGGCATCTTGATTATTTTGAAGTAAAGTTATTTAAGAAATGGCCAAGGCAAGAGAGCCCCTTGACCCTCCTCTTTGTCTCCCTGAAAGCAGGAAATAAATCTTCCATGAAGGACATCCTTATCACCAGAGATAGAGAATTTAGGGCTGAGAAGAATGTACAAATCAACCTTATCGCTCCTCTACTAATTTACTACCCTAAGCACAACTCTGTTTAGATTCTTCACTAATTAAGCACCCACAGCCTAAATTTCTTTGTTCTGTCAATTCTTCACAAATGTATTGTTTCTTTGTCTAAAAAGTATAAAATCTGCCTGCTCTGGTCACTTCTTAGCCCCATCTTTATGAGAACTTTGTGCAAACAAATTAAATTGTGTTTTTCTCCTGTTAATCTGTTTTGTGTCAATTTAATTATTAGACCAGCCAAAATAACTAAAGAAGGTTAAGGGTGAAATGTTTCCTGCCTCGACAGTAGCACAATAGAACTAGTATTTTGAAACCAATTTGCTCTTTACTTCATATTTTATAAACAGTTAGTATTTGCAATTAAGACTATTCAAAAGCTGTAAGGATATTCATATTTTACCCATAAAAGCCTTGGATTTACTGATTTGGAAGTTTTTTACTTCATTTAAATTTGATTATTTTTTCTATTTTACTTAACAAATTTTTTCCCACCGCATTTCTTACGTTTTTGTTTTTAAACATTTTTTTGGAGTATAATTGTTTTACAATGGTGTGTTAGTTTCTGCTTTATAACAAAGTGAATGCTATACATATACATATATCCCCATATCTCTTCCCTCTTGTGTCTCCCTCCCTCCCACCCTCCCTATCCCACCCCTCTTGGTGGTCACAAAGCACTGAGCTGATCTCCCTGTGCTATGCGGCTGCTTCCCACTAGCTATCTATTTTACATTTGGTAGTGTATATATGTCCAAGCCACTCTCACTTTGTCCCAGCTTACACTTCCCCCTCCCCATGTCCTCAAGTCCATTCTCTAGTAGGTCTGAGTCTTTATTCCCGTCTTGCCGTTAGGTTCTTCATGACCATTTTTTTTTTTTTTTTTTAGATTCCATATATATGTGTTAGCATACGGTATTTGTTTTTCTCTTTCTGACTTACTTCACTCTGTATGACAGACTCTCGGTCCATCCACCTCGCTACAAATAACTCAATTTCATTTCATTTTATGGCTAATATTCCATTGTATATATGTGCCACATCTGCTTTATCCATTCATCTGTCAATGGACACTTAGGTTGCTTCCATGTCCTGGCTATTGTAAATAGAGCTGCAGTGAACACTGTCCCACTACATTATTTGAAAGTGTTAAAATCTGTCTTACTAGATTTGTATAGTTTAGATAAAAGGTATTTAGAGAACATTTATTCATTTATTTGTTTATGAATATTTATAATAATGAGTATTTATTAAACATGTACATAATAGACTTTATACAAGTTACTGGAAATATGCCCTTGTATATGTATTGTTTATACTCTACCTGGAAACACAGTATCAACATATGTGGTGGCTGTCACAGTGAAAGAGATACTATTCTCAAATTTAATAGAATTTGTTCTATTTCAATATTATAAAATAACTAAAATGTGGTGCTAGAACCAGGGCAACTTCATACGTACTGTGATTTTAAGTTCACAGTAAGACTTTGACTCTCTCACCCTCACCCAAACACTTTTCTTCTTTGTTTTAAGATTACAACTGCTATTTCTATTCAAGCTGGTTGACTAACTCCCCACTCCCACCACTTCACAGAATCCTATTGAAATAGCAGCAACTAAGAACAAAGGGGAACACAGTGTTACAAATACTGCAGGGATGGAGAGACATGACTAGCATACAGGATATTCACTTCACAAGCAGTTTTGGAAGAAAAGTCACAGATGAGCTCATTTTGCTTTAAAAACCACAGGTAAGAGCCCCCTCAGGAAATTGTTGCAGTGTCTAGGTACCTATCTTTGACAGGGATGAAAGGGCTCTGAGCTCAGAGTGGGCAGGTATCAGAAAGAGCGACTTTTTTCCCCAGCATGGCTTCACTTATTGGTACCTAAATGAGAATAGTAGCACAAGACAATTTTTAAAAAAAATTCTGTTAGCATTGTCTCCAAGAACAAGTTGCAAGAGTTTCAAACCTTCACTGAGTCTTCTATTGACATTTAGCTTGATATTGACAAACATACCTGAGTACAATGATGTGTTAATATTGAAAGAGTGCACCAAATAATGACATGTCTACTGCAGGAAATTGTGGGGTAATGCAGACAGTCTGTGCTGGATCAACCATTATCTATGCCTAGTATTATGACAAAAAGTGACTGATTTAGGCATTATAAATTGAAGTACTCCTCTGGCTGAACTTGTTCTTTGCACATATTCCTTCATTGTGACAAGCACTGATAAACAAAGGTGCTGTTTCCAATACAGACTGTTGATTATTGACTTCAGATACACCAGTGTTTAAGATGGCTCCCTGAAGTTATTCTGCCTGGCATCTAGGATCCCTTCTCAATATGCCAGTTGTGAGAATGATCAGTGGTTCTGCACCCCAGGCATATTGATCTGATGTTTAATTTTATCAAATATTTTTTTGAAACCTCCTCTCTGCTTTTTAGTCTAGTCACTACATCTAATCAAATTATGTGGTCAATGAGAGTCTATTTTTCTTATCTCTCCCAGAACTGTTTTACATTATCCCAAGTAAATAACATCTTCCTGTGGGTTTTCTTATATGTGAAAATAAAGTTTATAAAATTGGCAAACTACCTTTAGAATTTTATTTCAACAACAATTAAAATATTATGCATTTCTATAAAAATGCACATCATTGCATTGATGTCTTCCATTCATTTTTGTAAGAGGCTATTAACCAAAATTTCAGAAATGAGGACATGTTTGAAATAAAAAAAGTATTTATTTTGGGGGTTGTTAGGACTGCAGCCTAAGAGACACAGAATCAAGAAGCACTTGAATTGTATTCTGCTGGACTACAATATGCGGGAGGTTTATAAAGGCAAAAACCACAAGGTTACAGTTAGTTACATGAATTGTTTATCAAGAATTATAATTGGAGCTAGCAAGAAGTAAGGGTACTTGTTAATCAGGGTTGGTTGGGGTCCATTATGGTTGCATAGTTACAAGGAGAGACACAAATTTGCAGTTAGCAGACATTTTTAAAAAGGCTGGTGTTCTTGGGTTAGGAATAGTTCACAGAAGGTTTAACTTCTCAGTGGTGTAGGGACATGTCTGAAACCAGATTCTCAATGGCTATTTGACTCCATTTTTGTGTGCTGAATGATGATTCCTCCATTATAATTTCAAAGGCTATAATTTCACAAAGGCTATTGTCAAAATCATATATAAGTACCATTTCTTTATTCCTAGAAAGTGTTTACATTTCAGAAGCACTTTCTTGTGTTTTTCTCAGATATTCCCATGAAGAAATTTGGAAAGAAATTGAAATCTGTCTGTGGTTGTGACCAATCCACCTATGAATAATATAAATTTCTCCCCATTAATTGGTCATTCCAGTAAGGCTAAGAAAAGCACAAAAAGTTACTAGTGTTTCTTACCAATCACGGCTTCTGGAGTCAAGCTCTGATACTTACAACCTGAATGTGCCAGGTTGTATTAATTTGTGTGAACCTCTTAGGTCACTGTGACCCTACTACTAAGTTTTTTTTTTTTTTTTTTTTTTTTTTACTACTAAGTTTTATTGGCAGCTGCCACATGCACGATTGTTGGTTGGCTTTCCCTAAAAATTTTCCACACTATCCATCCTGTTCTGTTTTCATTGCAACTCTGTCATGTGTTTCAGGAGGCCCGGTGCATGCTAATGTTCAGCATTCTCCAGCAGGAGGCTGCCCTGCACTCCTGTTGGGGACCCTATACCCTTGCAAACTCTGTGGCCGTGACAGGCTTTGTGGTTGCTCCATTCTACCTCCATTCTATTTTAACCAAATCTGATCTTTCTGTTCCACCTGACACAACTCTTGCAATTGATTTAAGGTCCCTTTGAAAATCTGTGTGGTCTTCACAGCAGGGGTGGGCGGGAATGGTTCACAAAATGAATGTAACACAGAGCTGGGCAGATGGGGCCCACTGGGTTTCAGAGTTTGGTGAAATAGCTCCTTTAGGTTATATCTGTGGCCCTCATTCTGTCTCAATAAAATCCCAGGTGTTACTGGCCTGGTGAAGAAACCCAGGGCCTATGGTTATTGTAGATTCTGGGTTTGCTCCTTTGAAAAAACCCAGATATGTCAGTGGACTTCAACATTTGTATTATTCACCCCATTAGAAAATGGTTTTTGAGGGTGCATCTCCAATGTATGTGTATTCATTTATTTGTAAATTGTATGCTTATAGTACTGCTCTATAATTTTATGTGGTTATAAATATTATGCAAATATAAAGTAATTTTAAAATGATGGGATAAAAGAAGTATGAATTAAAGTTTTTATATTTTATTTTCTTCCTATATTCCAGTGTTCTGTCTTGTTCAGCCACCTCTGGTTTAAACACTACCTTGGAAACCACGACTGTCAGTGAAGCTTCCCTATGTATGAGGCAAGCTTGTGATGGAGGGGAACAAAGCAGGGAAGGTATCTCTCAGAACTGGATTTGGTGTAATGTTGATGTTTAAAAATCCCTCTTCCCCTTCTAATCTGTTATGATTACTTAGAATTTCAGTAGCAACACTGAGAGAAATATACACTTTCCATAGTGAAGTTTATCCAAAGAGATGTGATGTAACTCTGAATTTTGAGGTGGGCCCGAAAATTCCAACATACCGGGGTATGTACTTTATATTATTCCCTCCCCTAGAGTATGGGTAGGACTGTGAATATAATGGATTTCATGACTGTGATTATGTTTCAAAGGTGAAGGGATTTTAAAAATGTAATTAAAATCTGAAATGAGAGGACTTTGAGTTAATGAAAAGGGAGATTATCCTCACTGGGTCTGATCTAACTAGGTGAGCTCTTAAAAGGAGTTGAGTCCTTCCTGAAGAGAGAGATTTGAAGCAGCAGAGATGATTTTCTGTTGGCCTGTAAGAAACAAACTATAGAATTATGGAGAAGACCCTGTGGCAAGGAATAGCAGGCAGTCCTGTAACCTCAAGGAACTAAATTCTACCAACTGCCAGGGAGCTAGGAAGAGGACTTGAGACTCAGATAAGATAATAGCTCTGGCTGACACCTTGATTTTAGCCCAGTCAGATCCTGAAGTGAGGACCTAGTTAATGTGTGTAGACTCCTGACTCATGACAACTGAGATCATAAATTTTGTTATGTTTTTCTAAACTGTTAGATTATAGTAATTTGCTATGCAGGTATAGAAAATTAACACAAGAAGTAGAAAACATCATACAGCATTGCTATTACATGAAAGCTAATAAAGTCAAGTTTCTTTCATATTTCCTTTAAATGACAAATTACTTATCAAGAATATTTTCTGTACTTTGAAATCTTTGTGACAGCCTGCATAGGGTGTTGTTTTCTAGTTTTGTGCATTGAAATTATGATATAATATGTAACATGCTCTGATATTTTGAAAGGTTTTATTCTAAGGATATCTATCAACTGAGTTATCAGTGAAGTTATTCTTGCAAATAGATTGTTTGGAGTAACAAAAGGACTATTTGGCTTGAGTTATGAGATGTGGATAGTGGGTAAATGTGTGATTTGGAGAATATCTCTATGCCTCTGTGTCTCCATTAGTTAAGTGACTGTACTAAGGAAGACATTTACAACCCCTTTATTTAAACAGCTTTATTGAAGTATAATTGACACACAACAAATTATACATCTATTAAGTGTAAGTTTGATAACTTTTTACATACACCCATACCAAGATGTTGAATAGATCCAACACACTAAAAGTTTCCTAATGCTCTTTTGGAATCCCTCTTTACTACCCCACTTCAGGACCCCCATCCTCTAAATCCTCAGGCAATGACTGATTTGCTTTTGTCACTATAGGTTAATTAATAATTATTTTTATTGAGATAGAATTGTACAATATTATATGTTTCAGGTATATACTCCATTTATAATTATTATAAAATATCGGCTATATTCCCTGTGTTGTACAATATATTGTTCTAGCTCATTTATTTTATCCATAGTAGTTTGTACCTCTTAATCCCCTACCCCTGTCTTGCCCAAATCCCCTTCTCTCTCCCCACTGGTAACCACTAGTTTGTTCTCTATATCTGTGCATTTGTTTCTTTTTTGTTACATTTACTGGTTTGTTTTATTTTTTAGATTCCACATATAAGTGATATCATACAGTATTTGTCTTTCTTTGTCTGACTTATTTCACTTAGCATAATGCCCTCCAAGTCCGTCCTTGCTGTTGCAAAGTTTTATTCTTGTTTATGGCTGAGTAGTATTTCATTGTGTGTGTGTGTGTGTGTGTGTGTGTGTGTGTGTGTGTGTGTGTATCACATCTTCTTTTTCCGTTCATCTGTTAATGGACATATCTTGGCAGTCATAATTATGCTATGAACATTAGGGTGTATGTATCTTTTTCAAATTAGTGTTTTTATTTTTTTAGAATATACACCCAGGAATGGAATTGCTGGGGTATATGGTAGTTCTATTTTTAGTTTTTGGGTCTTTTTTTGTGATAAACCTCCATACTGTTTTCCACAGTGGCTGCACCAATTTATACTCCCACCAACAGTGTATGAGGGTTCCCATTTCTCCACATCCTCACCAACATTTGTTGTTTGTGACCTTTATTCTGTCAGGTGTGAGGTGACATCTCATTATAGTTTTAATTTGTGTTTCTCTGATGATTAGTAATATTAAGCATCTCTTTATTGAGATGCCTGTTGGCCATAGGTATGTCTTCTTTGGAAAAATGTCTTCTCAGGTCTTCTGCCCATTTTTACCATAACCAGGTTTTTTTTTGATGTTGAGTTGTATGAGCTGTTTAGATATTTGGGATTATTTTTTATTTTATAGACTTTTATATAAATAGAATTAGGTAGGATTTACTTTTTTGTCAGCTTTTCTTCATTCAAAAAAATTTTATCAGACTCGTACATGTTATTGTATGTATCAAAATTTATTTCATGAATATACTGCATCCAGTCATTTGTTGGCATTTGGGTTTTCTCTAGTTTTGGGTTATTAAATGTAAAGATTCTATAAACATTCATAGACAAGTCTTTGTACAGACATCTGATTTTATTTCTCTAAGCTAAATACCAAAGATTGGAATGGATAGGTCATATGCTATGTATATTTGCCTTCTTATAAAATTGAAAAATTGTTTTTACGTTCCCTCAAGTAGTGTATGAGTGCTTCACTTGCTTCAAATCTTTGCCAGCACTTGGTGTGTTCAGTCTTCCCTCCCCCTCCCCCAACAAGTGGAAATTTTTACCTACAGTGTGCTTTAATTTTTTCCAGCTTTTTTGAGTTATAATTGACAAATAAATGCCTTGTCAGACAATATTTAATGTGATGATTTGGTATGTGTATACAATGTGAAAGGATTCCCCCATCCAGTTAATTAACACATCCATCATCTCACATATTTACATTTTTAAAACTTTTTTGTGAGAATATTTAAGTTCTACATTCAGCAAATTTTAATTAAACAATATTGTGTGTATACCCAATTATACTATACAGTGTTATCAACTATAGTCAACATTAGATCCTCAGACCTTATTCATCATATAACTAGAATATAACTATCGTTTTACAAAACTTTCTCTTTTAGCCTCACCAGACCCTGGCAACCACATTCCTACTCTCTGTTTCTGACTTTAAAAAAACCTTTTTTTTTTTCTTTTTTTTAAAGATTCCATACGTAAGTGATACCATGCAGTCATTGTCTTTCTCTGTCTGGCTTTATTTCATTTAACATACACCCTTCAGGTTCATCCAGGTTGCTGCAAGTAAAAGGATTTTCTTCTTATTTTAATTGTAGGTTATACATTTAGATTTATTAAATACTTTGAATTAGTTTTGCATGTGATGTTAGGTATGGATTGAAGTTAATATTTTTTATGTATAGATATTCAATTATTTCATCACATTGTTGAAAATCTTATTTCTCCAATAATTATTTTTGCACCTTTGTCAAAATTAAGTCTCTATAAATGTGTGGATCTATTTCTGGACTCCATTCTTTTCCTTTGCTCTATTGGTCTATCTTGATACTGATGCCATCCTGTCTTTGCACTGTCACTTTAAAATAAATCTGAAGTCAGATAGTTTAAGGACTCCAACTCTGTTCTTCTTTTTCAAAGTTGCCTTGGCTGTTCCAGATCCTTTGCCTTTGCATATGAATTTTAGAATCAGCTTTTAAGTGTCTACCAAAAAAGCATTCTAGGGTTTTGATTGGGATTGTACTGAATCTAGAGATCATGACATCATTACAATATTGAATCTTTTGATCTATAAACATAGCATATCTCTGAATTTATTTAGGTTCTCTTTAATTTCTCTCCACAATGTTTTGTGGTTTTATTGCACATATTTTATCAGATTTACCTTTTAATAAATCGCATTTTTGATGGTATTGTAAGTGGAATATTTTTAAATTTCTAATTGCTACTGGTATATAGAAAGACAGTTGATTTTTGTGTATTGATCTTGTATAAAAAACTTTATAAACACACAGAGTGGTCCTAAAAGCTTTTTGTGCAGATCATAGGATTTTCTATATAGACAATGAAGTCATCTGTAAACAGAGACAACTTTATTTCTTCCCTTTCTAACTTGAATGCCTCATTTCTTTTTCTTGTCTTATTGCACTGGCTAGGACTTCTAGCAAAACGCTGAACAGAAGTGGTGAGAATGGACATACTTGCCTTGCACCTGATCTTATGTGAACACATTCAGCTTTTCACTATTAATTATGATGTTAACTACAGGTTTTTCATAGGTCCCCTTTATCAGGTTGAAGAAGTTCTCTCCTATTCCTAGTTTGCCAAAGTTTTTCAAAAAATTGAAGTATAGTTGATTTACAATGTTGTGTTAGTTTCAGGTGTATAGCAAAGTTATATATATATATTCCTTTCCATTATAGGTTATTACAAGTTATTGAATAGAGTTCCCTGTGCTATACAGTAGGTTCTTATTGTTTATCTATTTTATATAGTACTGTGTATCTGTTAATCTCAAATTCCTAATTTATTCTTCCCCTTTCCCATTTGGTAACCATAGTTTGTTTTCTATGTATGTGAGTCTGTTTTGTAGATAAGTTCATTTGTATCATTTTTTTAGATTCCATGTATAAGTGATATCATATTATATTTGTCTTTCTCTGCCTGACTTACTTCACTTAGTTTGACAATTTCTAGGTCCATCCATGTTACTACAAATGGCATTATTTTATTCTTTTCTATGGCTGGGAGTATGTATGTATATATATATGTGTGTGTGTATATATATATGTGTGTGTGTATATATATATATATATATTCCACATCTATATCCATTCATCTGTCCATGGACACTTAGGTTGCTTCTATGTCTTGGCTATTGCAAATAGTGCTACTCCAAAGGATTTTATTAGAAACAGGTATGGGTTGTTTTCAAATGATATTTGTGTGTTTATTCAGATTTTTTTTCTTTTTAATCTATTCATAAGTTTAATTACATTGATTGATTTTTGAAGATTAAACCAACTTGGCATTCTTAAGAAAAACACCACTTGTGTATGTATTAGCCTTTTTACATATTGCTGGATTTGATTTGCTAAAATTGTGTTAAGATTTTTTCCACTTATATTCATGAGGGATATTGATCTGCAGTTTTCTTTTCTTTTAATGTCTTTGGTTTTAGAATCTGGGTAAGGTTGGCCTCATAATATAAACTGAAAAGTAGCCCTATCTCTCAATTTTCTTTTCATTTATGTAGAATTGGCATTATTTCTTCCTAAATGTTTGGTAGAATTTGCCAGTGAAGCCACTGTTGCTTCACAACCTCCTTGGGAGTTTCCCAGATGTAATATGAAACTGGCCCCCATATGCAGAAGGCAGGGAGAGAACAAAGAAAGAGACAGATCACTCCAGATTTGTAAATGACAGGTTTAATAGGCAAGGGAACTTATTTATGAGGCTTGTCTGGGGTGGCCTCAAGATTTGTAGATCTCTGCATCTGCCTGCTAAATCTTAAACATTTATATAGAGTCCTTAACTGGTTCAGTCACATATACCATCCGGATAGTCTCAACACCATATTTCTATTTCAAGGCTGTATCCTTGGGGCAACTTCTGAGAGTGGGGATGGCAAGCAGAACACATTCCAAAGACAGAGGAGTGGGTGGGGAACCTCCAATTGCCTGGGTCCATTTTGAGGGTCAGCTTCTGCTTACATCTTCTCAATGACCTCCCCCAACAGCCGTCTTCACCTAGAGGTTATTTTTGTGTGGGAAGATTTTAAACTACAAATTCAGTTTTTAAAATAGGTATGGAGCTATTCTGGCTATTTCTTATTGAGTGAAGTTAGGTAAGCTTGTCTTTTGAGGAATTTGTGCATTTCACCTTAGTTGTCAAATCTATTAGAATAATGTGTTTATAATTACCCTTTATTATCTTTTTAATATCTGTAGAATCTATTGTTATGTTAATTATATTATTCCTGATATGGCCATTTGTATGCATTTTTTTGATCAGCCTGAATAGATGTTTACGAATATGGAATTTCTCAGAGAACAAAGTTTTAGTTTCATTAACTTTTTGTAGTTTTATTTTGCTCATTTTTATTTTGTTGATTTCCACACTGATAGTTTTTTTTTTTTGCGGTACACGGGCCCCTCATTGCTGTGGCCCCTCCCGCCACGGAGCACAGGCTCTGGACACGTAGGCCCAGCGGGCCCAGCCGCTCCACAGCACGTGGGATCCTCCCGGACCGGGGCATGAGCCCACGTCCCCTGCACTGGCAGGCAGACCACCAACGACTGCGCCACCAGGGAAGCTCCACAATGATAGTTTTTATTTCCTTTATTTGGCATATTTTGGCTTTATTTGCTCTTCTTTTTCTGGTTTTTAAGGTGGAAGCTGAAGTCATTGACTTGAGAGCTTTTCTAATATAATTATTTAGTGCTATAAAT